GTTGGGATATTCTCCCCAGAAGCTATTAATAGCTTCTTTACAAAAAACCTTTCAAACCCAAATGTCTCTTGTGACAATTCGAAGTTCTTACGTTACCAGTTTATGTTGTGTTGGTGTAGGTGACTTTGTGGAAGTAACAACTGGTGCTGAACTTTTGTTGGAGAGTGTTGGATTGTAACGATGAAAATGTTGGGGTTTCCTCGGATGAACTTTTTCTTTGAACATCTTTATTATTCTTTAATACTTGTGAAAAAGGTGTCCTCTTAGATGGTATTCGGGATTACTTTTGAATATTTTCCAAGCCTCACGATTTGTGCGCCTTTGAGTAATTTTGATTTTGTTCACCGATGTCGTATGATGTGAGTGTGCCAGTGTTGCAATTAACACAATATTTTCTTGTGCATACATTATGTGGAGGGGGTATAGCATATTCCTTGCAAAGTTCCGTACACCTGCAAAGGTTTTTGGTATGTCCGACCTTTTGGCAGGATTTGCACCTTAGTGGATTCGGAACATAATCACGAACTGGAATGGCACGCCAACATATATCGATGAAGTTTGGAGGATGCATTGAATTAAAAGTAAGCACAGCTGCGCCTTTGGCAACTAATTCACTTCCTTCCCATTTCATAAATTTCCGTATAGCAATAACATCGAAATCGGCTAAATCTTTGAGTATCTCTTCATCCGGAATTGTTTTGATTTTGTCACAGAAGATGAGACTTTGCGAATGATTCAATGTAGGATGAGGAACTATTTTCACAGGTACAACATCTATATATTTCGCACTTATAAACTTTTTGAAGGCTCTGATATTATTCGCTTCAATAAGTAGGTCCCCACTACGAAGTTCAGTAACTTCAGAATATTCACGACAGATATTTTTAATGCATCTACTAATCTGGAATACGTTGTATACGGCTAATGGTTTAACTTCACGCTTAGTGTTTGTTGAAACAGCGGAGGCAATTACAAATCTAGCCACTTCATCATAATTTGGTTTCTTTGTTGGAAGGGACACATAATCTACAGCGTCTAGTCGCGTTCTTTTGCTCTTATGCTTGTCACGATCCGGATCGAGTACAGCGTCTTACATCTTATTTCACATACTCAATAAAATGAAAATGATTTTAATTGAATAATCCAAAAAGAATAAGATTGTAAAAGAAAATATACAAAAAACGTGCACAGTAACAAAACAGCTGTTTGAGATCAAACGATGTTTGCTCATCAACTCTTAGATGAGCACTGACAGAAATTATTATACAATAGTTTTGACTTACCTGCATAACAACACATGCATTTATTTCTGTCTTAAATCACTTACCTGCCTCAACGTGCACGTAAGTGAATTCATTGCATAAAAATTGGACAAAGTTAAATTTTCTGGAATACATGATGAACACTAAGTATCTAATAATGAAGGAATTTAAGGAAAAGTTCCAAATATGTGTATTTTGGTCAATTAAATCCAAAGTGCAGCTAGTGCAGTTTTGATGCATATATTTATTGCATTAAAGACAATTAACTATTATTTAATATGACATTCTCCGTGCAGCTAAATGCAAATATTTTAAGTAATGAGAGCGAAAAATTATCTTAAATGTGCAGGTATGAATTGTACAATAAAACGAAATATTTGAGAGGGAATTTTAGAAAAAGTACCAAAAAAGTGCAATATATTCTGATAATATTGAATCTGTGCAGAAACAATTTCTACTTTTTGCACCGAGAGGTTCACATAAAATTAATTCGATTGCCTACATTAAAAAGTAGACTTTTCATTTTGAATACTATAGTGGTTATAGCAATATTAAACGGTAATATACCCTCAAAATTCTATGGGATTCTGTGTATTCTAATGTAGATTTTTGCATGAATGTAAAACTTACAAAATCTAATCTTTTTTTTAATGAGTAGTGCAACTTAATAACAAACTGGCTGTTGAAGTAGATTCTGTAGCTGGTTTTCAATTCCCTTCTCATATTTCATCATGATATGGATTATGGTATGTACGCGATCCACGAAACTGGAGGTCGCCCCTCGGTCGCTATAGGTGAGAAAAGGGAGGCGTGGAACGTTCGATAAAATAAGACTCCGGTCGCTTCGGATGTTAGAACCCCCTGTCGTGTTGACCAAAATTGGTTAATATAATTATAAGGTTTCTTAGGAATGACAGAATTGTTAAGTTTTTGGTATAAATGACCGATATCTATTATCACTTTATGAACACAACCTAGCCACGTTAATGAAAAATATTCATATTGTTTTAATATATCACAATAAAAAAAATAATTACATTTTATAATTTTCGCCCAGTGTCAATATAAAAATTGTCAAAATGTCCTTGTGTACTTCAAACATCATCAATGTAATAGGCATTAATCATATTTTAATTCGATGAACTGTTATGATTATTACCATAATTATACAATGCCCAAAAGTATGCTAATGTTTTTCATCCACGAATAATTAAAAAGATGTAACAATACTAAATGTCATCCTTGTAAGTAGCAATAAAAAAGAATAGGTAATAATAAAAATAGTTGTGAAGTCGATTACAAAACAAAAATAATATAGTTTAACTATCAGAAATACGTACTAAATTTATAGAGGTGTGCTGATTGGTATACGGCCACTTTGTTTTAAGTTTTATTTTATGTGGAAAATTAAAGGAATTTACGAAAGGACATTTATAGAAGATTTATAAAATATGAATGTTTTGATTGTTTAATGGTCTCACAAAGTAACTTTCAAACTATTTTTTTAAAAAAATCCCTAATACATATCATGTAGTTTGTCATTTCAGTTTCTGCCACCACCCCTTGACATCTTGTAGTTGTCATTTAAGTTTATGTTATCAGTTATAAAAAAAAAAACAATAAAATCTCTAGATAGATTTTTTTAAAAGCGAAAGAATATATTCAATTTAAAATTGCAGGGTATTCAGTTTAGATATCTTATCAAATCTAATTGATAGTAATAGTATTGCATACGATTGTTTTAATGATTCATTTTTGCGCCAACACGTAATTAATTTATTCTGTACATTAGGCCAGTATGTTGTTTATATTAGGCAATATTTCGATGTATAGGAATCCATTCCTGAACAAGGTCAGTTTAGATAATATTATATATATGGGCACTTCCATGGTCACTTATACGACTTTCGCAAGCAAATTCGATTTTTTTCAAATCACCTCCAATACTTTTTTATAGTATTTTGAGACTACTATTAGTGGTAAAAAATTTGAGAGCCTCCGGTTTTTATCGTTTGAGATAAAGGCCACAAAAGTGCGTTGCTGATAATGGGAAAACTACGAGAAATTTTGTAAACATTTAACATTTTTTTTTTTTAATTTTGTCTGTATTTTTTTGCGAAGGATTTTTCTGGTCACTCTCGACGTAACTCATCCGACATTTTTGATTTTGCAGTTTCTATATATGCAGTGTCTGCTTTAATATTCATTAAATTAGTATTTATGCTAAGAACACGAAGAAAAAAAGGAAAATGTCGGTTACTTAAACGTATTTGAGTGCAATTATAGAAAAATATTATTCGACTTTGGTTTACCTTTTCCTGGAAATGTCCATATGTAAACTTAGTTTCCAAAGGTGTGTGCTAAGAAACGTGATAGAGATCTTATGGTATTTGAATAGTGTATGTAATAGTGTGTGTTTGCTTAGCAATACCTTTGACATGGTGATGGAGACAGTGGTATCTATTTTCGAAAGAAATATTCAAACCTATTATATACATTTTGGTAATTAGGAATTGTGAATTGCCAGTTCCAAAAAGAATGGTATATGAATTTACATGCATTCTTTTCAGAAGCATGTCAACTGCAGATCATCACAAATTGTCTACCTTCAATTTTCTCAAATCTAAAGCCAAAGTTGGATTCCTCTGGTGTAACAGAATTATCGATTTGTATCATTCGTCTTTGCTCGGCAGCTAGTTAATTTCCTTAAGAAGCCCAGCAAAAAATGAAAACATAACGATATCAATCGGTCGAAACTAATCCTTCTTTATTGTCTCGAGGCCGTTTTTATTGTTGTTACTATATCTACCTAAAACTGCTACAATATGCTTGATATAAATCAGTTATTTATAGACAGATGGCAGTATAAGTAGTCAATGTTTCCTATGCATTGACAGCGAAAATTCTGCTTCTTTAATAGCTTCGTCGCTGAACATAATTTTTTGATAACAAAGTGGATTTTTGACCGATTTTCCAACATTGTTCGTTTGTATGACGATTCATAGACCTATACTATATACCTGACTGAAGATGTTTGACAAAAGACGAAAAGTAAATGAATTTTTGTCAAAAATAATAATTGAAGTCCAGTAACCCAAGCTAATCCCAATATACCATTTCCGCTTCTTTATTGCCTCAAAGACCGTTTTTATTATCGTTACTATCTCCATCCAAAAAACGCTGCAATATTTATGATTTAAATCAGTTCTTTATAGAGGGGTGGCAGCATAAGGAGTCAAGGTTCCTTCTCTTTGTTTTCTTATTTCATTTTACAAATACAAATTAACAGTTTGGTTTTGGGTCCTAAATTCTCAAAATTCATTTTTCGAATTCTGTTTAAAATCAATTGTTCATATATTTTATTCGATATGACCCAATGTGCGATGTATCCCATAATATTAATGTACATATGTCTGTTTAATGTATTTGTATCAAGTGTATTTGAAATATTTTTATTTTCTCCAGAGTGTTTAAAGTAATTCAGTTGTGCCAACGCGTGGGGCGAGTCAAATACATTCATCCGCTTTTGATAAATAATTAAATATTTTTTGTTATTCTTAACGCGCGTGTTCTTTGCTTTAATTACTCAATTTTAGAACCATCCTCAAGGTTACGCACCGGTTCCACAACAAATGCCTTACGGAGAAGCACCACCATTTGGAAGTGGTGCTCAACCACAATATGGAGGCCCACCACCACCTGGATTTGCACCAGGGCCAGGATATGGACCACCACAACCACCTCAATATAATGGTGGTTTTCAACCAGGCTATGGACCACCTCAGGTTCCAATTGTACAACAACCGGGACAACCAATGATGCCAGGACAACCTATGGCACCTGGTCAACCAACGCAACCTGGCCAACCAATGGGTAAGTAGACTTTTTTATGTTATTTCCTATACTTTATTAGAAAGAGAAGTGAAATTAATTACCAAAATATTGTTAAATTAACGGTTTTGTGATCAAATAAAAATTTTGGGGAATCACACTATTAACACACCTCAATATTAATTTATAAATAGTTTTATCTATTAAAATCATTAAATGAAAAAGAAAACAATTTCACACAAAATACATTTAAAAAATATAAATCAAGGCCTTACACGTTTATCCACAGGAATGTGATAATGATATGACGTGTGGATATAAAAATGTTTTAAAAAACACACACGCACATATGTCTCATTTCATGGTTTTAGAAACTGGGAAAGCCCTATCGAAAGATGTTTTCCCAAGAAAACCTCATGAGTCATTGATTACACCATTGATTGACATACAACACTATAAATTGTTTGCATGCTAAATATGAATATATTTTTATACCCTACACAACTATGTTGTCAGGGTATTATAGCTTTGTGCAGCCCCTAGAGTTTGTAATGCCGCGAAATATTGGTCCTAGACCCACCTTTAAGTATACCGATCGTAGGGTATCACTGGTTTTATTTTGGTATATTATACCATTTATAACTTTATTTGACTTGTTTAAATGTTTACGAAATGGATTGTTTCATATATACAGTCGAATTCGGTTAAGCGAAAACGCCTAATTTCAGAAAGTGTTTTTCTCTTAAGCAGGATTTTCAATTAAAAGAACTTCGGATAAGCGAAACTCGTTGCGCTTAAACGAAGGTTTCAATCAACATATGAAAAAAAAATGAACAATTTTCAATCAACATATTATAAACCATGTTTTAAAATTTAAAACTTCTTTTTTCGTAAACATTTGCTTGGATGGTTGGAAAAATGTGCAACATAATTTTAGGGTTACACATAAAAATTGTAATGAATTTCGTTGCCCTTACACAAATGATATTTTTCTCTTAAACGGTGCTTGTTTCATATATACTTGTGTTTTTGCAACAAAAATGTCTTTCTCTTATACAGATTTTCAATTAACCAGTGTTTCTTTTAAGTAAAGTAAAGTGTTTGAAAATTTACCCGAAATATTAGTTTAATTTTTGTAGTTTCAATTAACAGATTTTTTCGATAAACCGGCGTTCGCTTATCCGAATTCGACTGTACTTATATTATTTGGGGCGTTTAGCAAAATTAGCATGGTTTCATCTTTGAATGTTTGGATGACGTCGCCCTATATAAAAACCAATTCGCTGTGCGGTCAATGTCAATTCACTTTTGAATTGCCAAACGTTTGCAGCATTTAACGAACACATGTAGATTCTATTTTAATCAGATTCTGTGTTCTTTGTGTGTGTTAATTTATTATAGAGATTTTGTAAACAAAAATAAATAATTGCTATCAATGATATTAGCCTACAATGGAACAGTGCGTGCACATTCGAACATTTAGAATAGTTTAATTTTAATAAATTGTTAATTCGTTTTGTAAGGAAACAGAATTTCAATGAATTCCTTACAGTTAAAATTTTGCAATGTAAATTAAGCAGCAAAGTCCCGATATATCCTTCGATTTTCAATAAATTTTGGCATAGGGTACTGAAATGTCTAGAATAATGTGTGGTAAGTTCCGTGAAAATCGATTCAGATTTAGATATATTTAATGTAAATGGTGCACCGATTGCAAAGTCGCATCGATTTGCACGAAAATTTGGCTTAGCGTATTGAAATAAGTCTAGAACGATGTGTGCTAAATTTCGTTAAAATCGGTTCAGATTTAGATATAGCTCCCATATATATTTTCGTCAAATTTTACGTAAATAGAGTACCAAAGCCCCTATATTTACTCGATTGGCACTAAACTTGGCATAATGTACTGAATTGAGTCTGGAATGATGTGTGCTAAGATTTATATATAGCTCCTATATATATATATATATATATATATATATTTGTTTCGATTTAATGTAAATGGTGCACCAAAGTTCCTATATATCTTTCGATTTGCACGAAATTTGCCACAGCGTACTAAATTAAGTCTAGAATTATGTGTATTAAGTTTTGTGAAAATCGGTGCAGATTTACTTAAAATCAGATGAAAGTATATATAGAAGATCAAGTTGAGACTGAAATGACGTTATTGCGTTTTTTTTTCAATTGGTGCATATGCAGATATAGCTTCCACGGGTGTCCGATTGAGATTAAATTTTAAACAGTGTAGCATACAGAATAGCGTGTATCAAATTTGCTTTAAATCGACTTACATCAGTTTGTTACATTGTACGCAAACGACTCTAAATCTGCATAGGTTGCAGAAAGGCATATGTATGAATTGATGTTAGTCGGTTAACTTTAGATAAAGATCACACATTTAAGTTCGTTCAATTTCCTTCACATTATTACAAAAGCTGGTAAGTGTAATTCTTATGAATAATGAGAAATTCAATAAAATAAACTCTAATGTAACAGTTAATCGGAAAATATTTAAAATGGAATTTTAAGAAATTTTTATATTTTCTGTTAGCTGTCGTCAATAATTCCGATTTGTCGTATATGTGTGACAGGGCCTACGAATATATGGAATCTGCATTTTCTTTCCTTCAGCGACAAGAATATACAGTCGAAATCGGATAAGCGAAAGGCGGTTTATTGAAAAAATCGGTTAATAGAAACTAAAAATGTTAAACTAATATTTCGGATGTATTTTAAAACACTCTACTTCGCTTAAAAGAAAACCCGGTTGATTGAAAATCTGTATAAGGGAAGGACATTTTTTGTTGCAAAAACACAATTATATATAAAACGAGCACCGTTTAAGAAAATTTTTAAATTTAGTTTTTTAGTTTTTTTTTTAAATTTTTATGTGCAACCCTAAAATAATAAAGAACATGTCTACGAAAAAAAATTAGTTCTTACCCAATTCATTTCATAATATGATTTATAAATTTCACGATTTTCAGATATTGATTGAAAACATCGTTTAAATACAACTAGTTTCGATTGTCCGAATTTCTTATAATTGAAAATTCAGCTTAAGAGAAAAACATTTCTGAAATTAGGCGTTTTCGCTTAATTGGTAAACCATTCAGAAAAGTGGCGACATTTCGGAGTATTTCCGTCTCTATATATCTGACTATGTTCGTTATCTTATCGCAATATTTACAAATAAATTACTATTAATGTTTCTGTAGTATTTTGAATGACCACCAATTGCTTATTGAATGCATTGTAGTTTTACGATTTTTTAACATATGTGATTTATGTTGTGGGTCGTCATTATCATCACGATAATTAATATTGAAGTTCATTGTCTTTTTATAAACCCAAGTATTGTAATTATCAAGGAAGGTGGATATGAACATAAAAATTCAAAAATTAGGAAGTCCGATTCCTAGTATAGACCGCATGGAGTTTGTGTGTCGCGGTCGCCTTACCAGAGGCCTTTTTATGGGATCTTTTATTTATAGGCTCTCGGATTATGGTATTCACATGATATTGCTCTACTGCCTGAGCGACTGCGTCCGTGTGAGGAGTACTATTATACTAGTTACAGGTTTACATTCGTAGCCTTGATACATTGGACTACGGATTTTATGATTCAATTATGATTACGGATTTTATGACAGACGAGAATTTCTGCATTTATGAACCAGTTTATTGTTTCAAAAATAGTGCTTGTATGTGTGTAGGATTAAATTTTTCAAAATGGTTTCCAATATTTTTTTGGGATTATAGATACATACATACATGACAGAACGGAAGAATAACAGAAAAAATGGTAGTAAAACAGCTCCCGATTGGAAAAAATGTTGAAATTTGCCTTTATTTCTAATATTTTTTTCATAAACGTAAACAAATTTGACAACAAAAAATTTATTTTCAACAGCATTGTCATATTGGAATTGTTTAATTCAGTATAAATTCAGTTTGATTTTGTGCATTTACCACACATAATAATGAGGATAATGTGCAAGTTAATTTGAATTAAGACTGTTAATGCAAATTAAGGCTGTCGTCTGTCTAGGCTATATAACACTCAATTATTAATTTGATTTTTAATTACATATGTATAAATATGTACTACTTTCAGTCGTGTCAGATCCTTCGGTTACAGGTAGTGCGCACCCTGCAATAAAATCATATTCGCTTATATTGTGTGGCATTTTGTTGTTGTAGCAACAACAAAATTCATACGATATTGCTCTACTGCCTGGGCGACTGTGTCCGTGTGAATACCATTCAGAGCTGCTTGATAGGCTTCTTGATCTAGGGGTTTACGTTTATGTCTTTGGACCTGTCTCTCTACGTCAAGTCGACAACATATAATTATGTCGGTGGACGTGTAAGATCTTCGTCTCCTCGTGAAGATGATCCACTGAAGTCATGAGGAGACACCCTGTTGCAGTTCTCAGGGCAGCATTCTGGCAGGTCTGTATATTATTCCACTGCTTGTCACTTAGATTCTCAAAACACCATGGCGCTGCATAGCTTACCTCTGACCGTCGGCTAGCGACTTGAGGATCTTTTTCCCACTTCTCGGCTTATCGCATAAAACAGAGGCTTGCGCAGACGACTTGAAAAGGCTAACGCACGTTACGCCCAGTATCTTGGGGTAGTTAGTGGACGCAGTCAGTTCTCCATCGACCATTATGTTCAGTAGGAGCTTCATTTCAGCTGTTGATTTTTTGGTTGATATTTTCGTCTTCCTCAAATGGAAGAAATTTACGAGTCATTCCGGGATATAATGCCGTTCCCATGACAAAAATGACGCACACAAACATGTATTTGTTGAGGGAGGTTGAGGGTAGCCTCTGGTCGGAGTCCATCTCCGAGTCAATCCGGTACATAGAACAACCGCCGTGGCATTTTGTTGTTCTTGTTGCTGTCCTACTGCTTTTATACAATGGGCCGAGGTGACAGATGTTGGCGAAGTACGACTCGGTTCGTTTCTAATTGTAGATCCCTCTGTCGTGGAAACGTGTGGCATGTGGTATAGTCTGGTAGAAACCACA